ATTTTTTCTTAAAGTAAGTGCATTTGTTCTTGGATTGAGGAGATAAAAGAGACATTTTGCCAATGGAACAAAATAATTTACACTTAAAATAAGAAAACACAATTGCATTGTCTTATTTCCAGCACATTTTATCTAATTATCTTATTTTAAGAGTAAATCTACTCATTCCATTGGCAAAATATCTCATTTACTGACTCAAATTAAGGATAAATACACTTAGTTTAAGTTTACATAATTTTTCCAGTGTGGTCTGTGTCTTTCTAAACTCATTAGGGATATTTAAGGATGTAAAGTTGAGCCATGTGTTATAACATTCTTTTAGTTTAATTGTTTAAAAGGAAGCATTTCAGTCAACGTCATTAGAAAAACTGCTACATTCCAAGAATGTTAAACAACTATTTTTCACTTAAAATGAAACAACTCATTCCTAAATATTTGCTCTGAAAAGGGCTCCATGTATTGTATGTTGTATACTACTACACTGCAAAAAATGGAAATCTAAATAAGTCACTTTTGCTCAAATTAGGTGCATTTTTCTTGAATTGAGGAGGTAAGTGCGACATTTTGCTATTTGGAACAAGAAAATTTACATTTAAAATAAGAAAAAAATAATTGCTTTGTCTTATTTCAAGCGTATATTATCTAATTATCCAATTTTAGGAGTAAAGATACTAATTCCATTAGCAGATCATCTTATTTACCTGCTCAAATTAAGGGTAAATACACTTAATTTAAGACATTTTTTACTTATTTTCTAGATGTTTTTTGCAGTGTAAAAATTGGGTCACACCAAATGAACATTAAAAAGATGTCCAACACCTTAACTCGGACGCATCTGCATTTTAAATTCATGCTAGAAGCTGTGGATGCTGAATATTTGCTGTGTTGAGCTGCTCTGTTCTTTGTCTTGCAAAGTAAGGTGTGGGTTGGATTTCTTTTCTTTGACCAGTTACAAAAAAAAGTAGATTTAGTACATTTTAAAGGAAGTTCTTCTAAAAATGTCATCTCTGCAGTCAGTTTATCTGAATGAGGTTGCTACAGAAATCCTTTTCTTGTATGGAGCATCAGAGCCCAGCATACTGGTGACCAACTGTGCTGGGAGCCTCCAATGAAAGCTCTCTATGGTGGACCAGGCAGTCAGGGATTTACCGCTGCCATTTGTTGCAGCTGAAAGTGAATATACAGTAGCAGTCATTCAAATTGGTCAAACGCCGGCCGAATGGCAGCCCACTTCCCTCCAACTCCCAGTGAAACCCCCTTCAACTTCCAGCCACTGGTGTGACCCTGTCTTCCATAGTGTTTTACTCTGACTCCATCCTTGCACTGAATTACAGTGTCTTTTCTTTAGATCTTAATGTCCACAAATCATGACAGAAAGAATATTTTAGTACAAAGATAGATGTTTAAAAAGGAATTGAACTGGGACCAGCAAAGGGCCCATCAAGGAAAGTTGGGAAATTTTTAATTGCTACTACTGTAAAGTGTTTTAGGTTTGTGGTAAAAACTGCAGGAACCAAAATGTAAAATCAAATATTTTTCGCCATCAGGTTTTGGCAATTTGTAGTTCATGTAGGTATTTCTAAACACAGCCTAATAACAAAATATTCAGGGTTCCTACAGCATAAGGCAAGTTAAATTCAAGACTTTTTAAGACTTTTTAAGGCCACTTGAAATAAAAATTTCAAGAAACACAAGAAAAACCTGCTTGCGACAACTTAACCCAAAGGTTTATTTTAACATAAAGCCCTGCACTAATGTTTCGAATTTTTGAAAAGCTTCCCATACAGGAAGAAAGCTAAAAACACACAAATGACAGATATATTTTAACAATTAATGAGCTTATGTTTGTAAAAGACATAAATAGTATTTCCATTTGCATTGCTTCAGAACAAAAACAGCAAAATGGTGCAGAAATCCGGTCCAGGTTTTCCTTCCTTTCTTGACACCCAAAACACTGGACGTAGACAAAATGATCCACAGAGGAA